CCTGGGTGGTGTTTCTATATCACAGCCACAACCACCCTGGCCACTCTTGGGTCCTTAGCCCACCAGGAGTTAAGTACAGGGCTGCCAGGGCCCAGAGCAGGGCTGGGAGCTGGACCAGAGGCCAGACTCGCAGAAAATGGCCCAGGCTCAGGCCTAACTAAGCCAGAGCAGGACTCCGGCCCAGCACTCAGGGAAGCTGGGCCCGGACAGGCTGAGTGAGCGCAGAAGGATGCAGTAGCCCCACTATGCCCCACCTCCCGCTCTGTGTATCTCACAGGAGCTCCGTGGGCCCCTCAACACCCCAAGAAACCATCATCAGCCCCTCTCCTCCCAAGGATGCCTGTAGGCCAGAAGGTGGGGCCCGGGGTAGGGTCCCACTGTGCGCTGATGCCTAGAGGGGGCCAACCAGGTCAGCAGGGGATATTGGGGTGGTGAGGGAAACCCACAATCTCCTATGTGACCCCAACTCTGCAGAAGACCCCCAGACTGTACAAGAAGAGACCCGTGACCTCCTAGGTCCCCTAAACCCTATGACCCCCACATCCTTCCCTTCATACATCCCAAATCCAGTTGCGGTGAGAGGCAAGGTGAAGTGGGTAGGCCTCATCATGCCAGTGCACTGGCCCCACGTACCACGCAAGTGCCCAGGGCGACCTGACCCACCCCACCACATTCCACAGCCCCTCAGTTCCAGAGGGACCTGGCCCAGTCCTGACTCCAAAGCCACAGCCCCTGTGGGCTCCCTCTGGGAGTTGGGAGCCTGCTGTGGCCTCCCAAACAGCCCCAACCTGCTCTGAGGGCGGGCCGGCGGGCACATGGGTGGGGACAGGAGCCATGCTCAAGAATGAGCTGGGGCGTCAGGGGGCCAAGAGGAACCCACAGTGGCCGTCTTTTCTCAGAAGTTGGGGGTTGGGAAGGCACTCACAGCCAGGTACCCCCAAACACACAGCACCCTGGGAGCCTGATCACTGAGCCACAGACTACTCCACTCAGCCAAGACGTGTCACGCCATCCTAGAGCCACGGCCTGGAGGAAGCTGGACCCCTAGGACAGAAGGAGGCCTTAGGCAGGGCCACCGGTCCCCACACACATTGAGACAGAGCCCCTGCCAGCCTTGCCCCACAGACACCTCCCAGACATGCCTACCTGATAATGACCCTCACTCACACAACCCGCAGGACAGGATGTCCAGACCCAGGCCTGTGTCTGCCCTGATGACCATGGAGCCGCTCAATGCTGTCACCTCTTCCTCACCAGCCCAGGCTGACCACTGGGGCCCACAGACCACCTGACTCCACACTTCTGGTACCTTCTGGGTCCAACCACATGTCCATGCCCTCAAGCTGTCCCTTCCCACTGCCAGTGGGCTGTGTGGGGTCACTCCTGCACGCTCTGAGACCACACACCACAGCCAGCTGGCTGTGTGTCTCCCCATCTACCACCCATGCAGTCACCTCAATGCTCCATGCCCAGTGCCACCACCTGGCCCCTCGGCCACTGTGCCCTTAGCATCCTCAGCACCGACAGCCACTGAGCATACCCACCCCTGCTGTACCCTGCACCCCTCATACACACACACATGCACAGACAGACAGACACACACACACACACACACACACACACACAGTCTTCCGTACCATCAGCCTATGCTAGCGCATCCCTCCCTGTGGCACCCGGCACCCTACAAACAGGCACAGGCTGCAGCCCCTGGGCCGCCCACAGACCCTCTGCTCCAGGCAGCATGGCCCCATCGCCAGTGCCGGGCGGACGGGCAGAAGCTGTCACCCAGGGGACTCCCCCTGTGGGGAGAGACTGCCAGGCTGTGCCCGCGGGGGGAGGAGGGAGGAAGCAGGGGGCGTGCGGGCTTCTGCAGGAGGAACTGGAGGAAGAGGCGGGCCAGAGCCACTTTCGGTGGGCCTGCGAACCCTGACTCGGGCGCTCCACGCTGCTCGCGCTCACACGCAGTGACAGCGGGGCCAGGCTCAGGCTGCGCGGTGAGGTCATGCCCACAAGGGCCTCTCCGGCTCCCCGCCCCTCCGACCCAGGCGAGGACCCCGGAGCGCTGGACTCCAGGGCCGGACGCGCAGACCCTGCCGGGAAGACTGGCCTTGGCCTCTAACATTTCCTCCCCGGACTCTTCAGCTCCGAGGCTATTGCCCCCCAGGGGACCCCCCCCGTGTTCCACAGGCCCGCAGAGGAGACCCCTGCACCTCGGGTCCAGCCAGAGGCCGCGGGGCTCCGAGAAGGGGCTTACAGGCGGCACCTCTGGGCCAGCCAAGGTGCGGGAACCGC